TGGGTCACGTTAACACTATCATGGAACTGCTGTGAGTTGTCGTAGTCTTACCGGTGTAGCTCGTGAACGATATCCTTATTGTATGCACTCAATCAAACCACAAGAACACATGTAGCTTCTTTGGTGCCGTTGGAAGTGAAGTGGAATCTCTGCAGGATCCAAAATTCCTTTGCTGCCCTTCTGCATCTCCATCCTCAGGTCTAAGACACGACGTAAGATGCTCCTTCGCCACTCGTGCTTCACGGGCGTTTTGATCACGACGGTCGACTGACGAGCCAAAAACTTTCTTTTGACCCGTATCACTCTCGCGACCGTTCTGCTACCGTTCTCGCTCAGCAAGGCGCAGCGTATTGAAGTGGAGCGTCGACAGCATAATATACAGCTTTTACGTCTCCAGCGGGCTGAAAGAAGCACATAATCAAGTGAAACGGAAGTAACAACACATTGCTGACTTACTAGAAAACTCCTTTCGACAGTATAGGCGATCCAGGGCGTTCTTCGTCTCGCATATTAAGATCCCCCATGTGACCCTACTCTCTCCAGATCTTCCTGGTACCGTAGTTTCAAGATGACACCACGAAAAGCAGCATGCGCTTTACTCCCCAACGGAAGTGAGGACGTGAAGAGTTCGGGTGACACTCTGAGACTCCTGAAAGACGTCGAATCCTTGTGCTTATTGAAAATTCAGCCATCACCAGAAATCACCTTCCGCCACTCGTTTCCTAGCCATTTCACGAGATGCCAGCCATCAAAATAATGCTCAATAGCGGTACCGTGTACACGCTCTACTTCATCCAGTACGCAACCAAAGCTCCGGCTTCTGTCCGTCGTGAGGGATGCTATTTCTAATCCTTGCATGATCAACCAGTGCAAGGCTCTCCTCAACCCTTCTATCTCCATTCTCAGGCTATGGTTGCCTGCAGAAAGGGTAAGTCACAAAAAATGAGGTCAGCATCAGAACTCTGAGAAACGACTGACCGCACTGGGACCGATCTAACACTTCGGAGTGCATTATAAGTTTCGTACACTGGTCCTGCGACAACCACCTTTGCTATCTCTGCACTATAGCCTCTACATGCGGGATCTGCAGAAATGACGAGAACATTAGATACTTCAGTTCAGCATTTCTTCACGGTGGCAAGTTATGAACGCGGCCTAGACTAAGAGATCAAGAAATGATATGAAAAGAATATATACGCTTACAGCGCATCAAGCGCATAAATGAACAGAATAATTAACCTGTTGATAAGTGAGCATTCGAAAGTAGATGTCTTGCCACAGTTGCCATAAAATCCGTAAGGTTAATGACTAGTTTACATACTACATACGACATATTTCATGAATGATTGAGTGTAACAAGATCAATATCTACATTCGAGTAGTGATGAGTTGTCAACAACAATGGAAATAAATCAGTAAATTAATAAATAAGCAGCAAAAAAATTGCTTGTGCCGTCTGCGCACATCTAAAATCAGGGAAAAGAACTGTACGGTAGTAGAAGAGTAGACAAAATCCAAAATACGTTAAAAACTATAACAAATTACATGAAAATAGGCAAATATAAAAAAATTAAAATAGGCAGTGGGTGAGTGACTATTGATCGATGGAGGCGAGAAGTGGACGCCAAGATTTTCTTCTGACGACACACCAGGCAACACTTAGAATCAGCATTGTGAGAGTTTTACGGCGGGAATTTGAACGGAGAATACGAAATTTGATTTTCCAGAATTTATGCAACCAACCAGTTATTTTTGTTTTTTCTGCTATTCTCATGCATAACAAAGCCCAATGTACTGATTTTCAATGAAAAGGGGATCACGCGATTTCCGTGGGCGATTCCTTCAAGAGGATCGGAGCATGAAGAAGGAGAGGGAAGGAGATCGGAAGAGGGCGTTCAACCTTTTTATAGTCGAGATGCCACGCAACTTCATTTCATAGGTGAGCTTCTTCCTGCTTCTTCTTCTTTTCATTGTTTCAGATTATATAAGTGCTTTGAAGTTTCGTATAGGCCCAATTCTCATAGTTTACGAGTTGAGTAAAAAAAACGCAAAAAACAGAAAACAAAAGACCCACCTTAGAAAAACCAAAACAGCTAATAAAAAAAAAGGAAGCAGCGAACAGCGCACAGATTATTTTGGGGAGTTTTGGTTCGGAGCCCGCTACGACCCCCCCTTTTGGATGGTTCGCTTTACACCCCCCCCCCTTATGACACTAACTTACGAAGTTTCATCCCCCCTCGAGGGACGAGAAACTTCATAAGTTCATGTATAAGTAAGCGCGAAAAATAGAAAAAGTGACAATCCTGAACAAGGCCCCTCGCTTTTTGCTCATTTCTATCCTGATTCAGAAAAGAGAATAGAAAAGAAAGGCCATTAGGTTTCACCCACCTTTCCTCGAGTCAAAACAAACTCTGGTACCTGAATCAATTGGCAATTAAAGAAAAAAAAACGAATAAGCCAGCTTCTCCTAAAAGCACTCTGAGCGGTCCAAGCAAAATTGCTGGGGCGCGTATTCGAGTAAACTGATAAGAAGATAAATATTCGATATTCGAACTGGTGCAACGAGAAAGAAGATAAATATTCTATATTCGACTAAACCGAGCAGAAGATAAACAAGACACGAAAGAGTAAATACGAACGAGAGCAAACGAGGATGCTGTCTAAACGAAGCCGAGGTAACCTCTTTGAATAACTTTCCCGCGCGCACCCGTTTGAATCGGCGCCGAGGTACCGGGGGAAGGGATTCTGGGCAGGACCAGCCATGTGGAACACGAGTTTTCAGCAAAGTGGGGGGTGTGGGGTGTCTTTGAAGGACCATAACTTCCTCAAAACGACCTAATGCCCGCGAAGAGAGAGCGATTCGTGTAGAGAACGTTTGCACTTCCAAGAAGTGCGGGAACTTATGAGACCGCAAAAGATCACAGGCAAGTATGCCGGATAGAATCGATGGGATTTTTTTCAGAACAGTTGAATCAATATATTTTTTGTAACTCAACATTTCACAAATCTGAGAACGGATTCGAGTGTATGAAGACTTGCTCTTTCTAAAAACCTATTGAACTGTTTCGGAAGTCCTCGGGATTCATGAGATCTGGCGATGGGGATTTTTTGCGCAGTACTCCGAGCTGCGCGAAAAACCCGTTTCCTGTGTACCGTTTCAAGTGAGCGTGTTCGAATAACCAGGAACGCATGAAAAACGTATCCTGTGGTGGAGCAGGAGCAGAATATGGTTCGTTTAGCGCCGATCACGCTGATTGGATGCAGCGCGCCACTGAAGGGCCGCGCAGAAGTGATGGGATGGTGCAACTTGTGCGTAATGTCTGTCCACGCGAGCAAATGTGTCTATAGGATTCAGGGAGGTCCATGGCGAAGCCTGTGCACTTGTTTACAGTGTTTTCCGTTGCGTATGGTGGAGCGTGTCCCTGTCGACGCCGCCAGATTCATGCTCCGCCAATTGCTGATTCCGATGAGAACCAACTGCTGGAAAACGTTTTATACGAACGATATGGTAGTCGTTTGTCGAAAAAAACAGGTTGGCTCAGCGCCAAGCGCGATCGCGGACACGCCCCATCATCCGCAGCGAACCAGAGTATGAGTTGTAGTGTTTAATCACTTACGAGATGATGTCGACTTTTTATTTCCAGTTATTTCAGATTAGTTTGATGATTGAAAGTTTTGTACTATTTTTTACATATCCGAGTTCTCTACAAAGCAAGCTTCGCTGTACAGGACTCAGCACACTGACACCTTTGCGCTGCTCGTTACTGGCTACCGCACTCATTACGACCCCCCCTCTCCTGGCGGCCAAATACGACCCTATGGGGATTCCTCAACCCATACGATGTGCCCTGAGCACGAAATTGAGTCGATTCTCCCTAAAAGCACTCGGTGCGGTCCAAGTAATAGCGTTGGGGCGCGCTCTGTCCCCGTACCGACGATCGCGGCATCGTAGCGATCCCTGCGATCGTCGTTACGCGACAGAGCACGTCCCAACGCTGTTCCTTGGACCGCTCCCTTTGATAAATAGGTAGATCCAACTTGCAAGAAGTTCTTTCTCTCTGTAATGGCCACTAAACTGATAATGATTTCTCTACTTAGAGGATCTGGAACAGGGGAGGAGTTCACCTTTTTCAGGTCGGAAAACGGTGGACTTGATTTCGCCGGTTGACTTCTTTGTTTCTTTTGTTTTCATTGTTTGAAGTTGTATATGTTTTGAAACTCTCCTAATGGCTATACTGTTCGAACTTCTAAAACATTTATATTTTACAAGTCGAGTTCAAACAACGAAAAAAAGAAACAGTGTGAAACCAACCTAGGAATCGAAACACTAGTCTTTTATGCAAGAGAAAACTTTGTTACTTCATATAAAAGCTCAGAGAATCAAAAAAGAAACAATAAGAACTCTATGCTGAATGAAGCTCTCACGCTATTTGCTCATTCCTATCATGAACCAAAAAAGAAAATAGAAAACAAAACGTTAAGTTGGGTTCACTTTTTCTTGAGTCAATACAAGCTTTGGTACGGCAATTGCAATTAAAAAAGCACGGAATTAAGCCGATTTTTCCTAATAGCACACGGAACGGTCCAAGTAGAAACGTTGGGGCGCGCTTTGTCGAGTACCAGCTGTCGCGAAGCATGAACCCTAAGTGTGATCGAAAGGTGCAAGTTCCAATGACTATGGATCTCTGGGCGCTACCGCTCATACAACGTTCCTCTTATATAGTCACTCTCACAGTAACAGTCACTTTTGTAAGCAGTTAACAGTTGCCATGATGAAGAAGCACTTTCTGCTCCAAACTGTGGATGTGCGAGTATTTCCCACTGGTGTTCTGGCCTTAGTTTTCTCCTTTGCTCCAGCCTTCGGAATACAAGACAGATTTCGATCGAAATTTCCGCTGAGTGAGCTGTGTGAGCTTAGTTGGTCATGAATTTGTGACATCCAGGCGAATATGATATTCGTGCTGGCCAAGCCCACCTTATTGGAGAAACTCAACCAAAATATGGGAAGAATTTCGAAGTGCAACAGTGAGGGGTAAGCAGAGCATGACCTCCTTTTCTGCAAACCGGAGTTCTCCAGCTACCTTCTCACTGTCACCCTTGGATTTTCTGGCGCCAGCGTCGCCGGGAAAACACTTAACGCGAGTTCTGATAGCACATACCATGTCTTCTTTAGACAATAAGCTGGTCTGTATATTCCAGGACACCCCTGAATGTTTTTCATTACTGTTTACGTTAAACTACATAAAAGAACTTGTGAAATTTTGAGCATTTTTCAAAGAATTTCTACAGCATTCAACTGCTCCAAAACTTGTGAACCAAATTTGTTCATGTTAAATGCCGCTTTCTGGAGTTTTTTGAACCATCGGAGTACTTGTCCTCTGTGATCACCTTTCACATTTCATTACTGAGGAGTAACGGAATGCTCACAGCTCGAGCGTCAAGCGCTACATAAATAGTGAGAACTACATACAATGCCCCCAATTTTTGTAAAATCGATGGTTTGCAAGGGATTAATCCTTAACGGGCACAACTTCCGCCAATAAATTGACCAAATGCAATCTGAAACTTAGACCAGTCGATAGCCCTGTACAAGGCGAGTCTGTAGTTTCCCTTTAAACCCTGCTAGGGTGTATACCCTATACCTCCTGTTGCCTTTTTTCTAACAAGTTCTCGATTTGTCCTAGAATCTCATATTTCATGGAACACCTTGTCTCTGCGAAAGCTAATCTGAGCCGTTTCTAATTCTTGATATAAGTTATACGGAATACATATGAGTACTCTTCCAGTCGGAACCCTAGTAACTGCAAAAGCCCGAACACGGTGGACTGTGGGCTGCAAAAGAACCTTTGTCACGATTGCTGCAATGGTAGCTATGTGGGCGGCACCTATTTGATCCCGCCTGGAATTTTCCCACTTGTCTGCTATCCAGGTGAGTTCTTCAACAGCGAAAGTAAAATGATCAGATATCGAGCCATATTGATTTCGGGACAGCATTGAGCATTATTACAGGTCGTCTTCAATTAACTCCGTTTGCTGTGATGTATTCTCCTCCACATTTTCTTTACTCACCTCCACAGGTGATCAACTCCATCGTTGGTGTCAATCCGAACAGTGACATCCATCGGCCGATGGTTTATAATCATGAGCCGGTTAGTGGAGCATGTTTTTCATTTGCGTTTTTGCCATCTAAAAAATCTTTCCGGGATCAAAAGTAATTGATATCGGGGTTCAAAGTCTAATAATACCAAGTCAGTTGTGAAGAGAATGCAGGGGGGGGGACCTTCCGGGAAGCCCTAGAAACGATTCTTTCCTGATTCCATCCGAGCTTATGGGACCCATACCAAGGCGTGCTTCCACAAATTCTCACTGCCAGGCCCCAAAAAATGAAAAAAGTTGCGTTGTGCAGCGCGCGCCAGAATGACTTGACCAAGCAGCAACGCCTTTACCAAATTCTCTGAACAGCGACAGTTGGTTACAGTGCACTCTATTTCACGCAGAGGACTTCTTTGTCAAGCAGTCACTTAAAATAGACGTTAAATGTTCTTCAAGGACAAACGATACGCCTCACATTCCTTTATCTGGTTTCTTTTTTGCCAGTACGAAGGAAATGTAGCTGCAGTAGCGTTCCTCATTCTATAATAAACTGAAAATGCGCAGGAATGGGACTGAAGGGTAGTGGGACCTGGGTCCCGATCCCAGCGTCGGTCCTGCGCTGCCGCACAGCTTGCCACGCAAAACTGCTTCTCTCATTTCTGGTTGCCTTCTCCCTCTGACTGCGAGTTCGCTGCAAGATTTTGGTACCAGAATAAGTGCTGTACCTTGAGGATAGCGCTAGAGGAGTCCGGAACGGTACCTGAGTATCACTACCCTCAGACCACATTTCCTTTCGCTCTTAAAGGCATATCTCAAAGGGATAATTCAGTACTCGGTCTGAAATGCTAGCAGGGTGCTACATAGAGGGGAAAATGACGAAAAACGAAGTGAAGCGGTTAGGAACCTACGGAGAAAAGCCTCCGTCGTGTCAGTAACCGCTGCGATAGATACTGCTGCACGTCTGTACTTATATGTCCATGCACAACCGCACCGCAAACGCCTCATATCAATCCCTTTGCTTCTTGTTACTTCGTAAGGAAACGATTCGAGCATCATCATGGGTGGGGCATTTGTAGGCCTTCGGGCGTGGTGGGCGTCCTGGTCGGTATGTTGCAGCTTGATAGGGCGCTACGGGGTACGTTGCTTGGGAAAAGCGCCATGCAGCGACTGTTCAGGAGCGCCGAATTATGTCCTCCTAAAGGTATTAATCCTATACGTCTTAGAGCTTTATTGTGCCTTTTTGCCTTCAAGTGACGAAGGTGTTGCACTTGTACTGCCCATCCGTTCTTTTCGCACATTACAAGGACTGATCTCAAGTGTAAGCGTACAGTTTGTCTCTCTCTTGATATTATGGCACAGCCTCTTTGCTTTGCTTTGCTTCCTACCCTTATGGCCATGAATACTCGAACAGTTTATACTTGGAAAGTTCTCAAGTGATAACCTGAAGGAGACATTGCCACTTCTAACTGGCCTTCACTTACATGATGCTACAACTGAAGTAATCATTTCAGTATTCCGGATCCGTAACAGAAGTGTTCTACAGGCTGCAAGTTTCAATGCCACTGATAAGGAGCAGGGTAGCGATGTAAGTGAACCGGAGGCATTTTTACTTCAAAAAAAAGTGGAAGCTTTCAGCCAAAATCGCCACCTCACTGAGTCAATCATTCCGATATTTTGGGAGGATTCTCATGCAGTTCTGCACGATGACACCTATCACATGATTTGGCTTGGTTTCGTTTTCGTGCCTAAACTGGTCGATATTATCAAGTACTCCTTTGCGGTGCTGGCGCTGGCGTTGTTCTTATTCGTTGCGATGCGACACCTGCGAAGGAGACGAGGCCAAGTGGCCAATGCTCAGAAGAACAGCGACCTAAAGCTAATATCTACGAACACAATCGATGAATGAAAAAGTGACGCCGCAGAGATTATTGTTTATTTATTCTATTTGAAAACGGGTTCCTAATAAATTCTTGTCGATTCTATTCTGATACATTAGAGACTACACATTCAGAATTTATATTTGCAATACTTTATTACGGACCATTCTCAGAGGCAAGCTTCGAGAGAAATTACGCATACTTATTCTATTTGCGGGTCCTAT